CCTTCCCTGGGGGGCTGTGGAGGTTTTAGCTCCCACCTCACCGTTCCCTCTGGGCTGTCGCCTCCCAGCTGGCCGGGATCGAGCCAGGGCTCTCCCAGTGCGTGCTCCGCACAGCGTACCTGCAGTGCCTTGCTGGGTCACCTGCCTCGGCCACCAAGACCCCCAGCTTTCTGTGGCCTTGGAGGGGTGGTCCCAGCACCACCGGCTTGTTCTGTCCCTGCGGCAGGATTTCTCCAGTGTCCCTCCCGGGATGCACAGCTCTTGCCCAGAGCGGGGTTGATTTTGATGCAACGCTGTCCAGAAACTCCGTTTCACAGAATCACAGAATGTTTGGGGTTGGGAGGGACCCCTGGGGATCCCCGAGCCCAACCCCTGCCCAAGCAGGGTCACCCACAGCAGGCTGCACAGACCACGTCCAGGGGATTGGAATATCTCCAGAGAAGGAGACTCCACAGCCCCTCTGGGCAGCCTGGGCCAGGGCTCCGTCACCCTCAGAGGGAAGAAGAGCCTTCTCTTCTCCAGGCTGAACAAGCCCAACTCCCTCAGCCTTTCCTCGTAGGAGAGATGCTCCAGTCCCCTCCTCATCCTCATAGCCCTGCCCTGGACTCTCTCCAGTAGCTCCTCATCTTTCTTGAACTGGGGAGCCCAGAACTGGACAGAGCACCCCAGATGGAGCCTCCCCAGGGCAGAGCAGAGGGGGAGGAGAACCTCCCTCGCCCTGCTGCCCACACTCCTCATGATGCACCCCAGGATCCCATTAGCTGTTTCTTTGCTGGGACCTTCCCTCCCGCTCTGGCGGGGCCCGTTGCAGTCGTACCCGGGGTGAAGGAGGTGATGTGAGAGCACGGGGGGGGTCTGCCCTGGTTTCCCCCCTAACTCCCCTTCGCGCTGACTCCCAGGGAAGAGCTGCGCGTCCTTCCTGCGTGTGGAGCCCTTTGTCTGCGCCCAGTGCCGCACCGACTTCACCCCTCACTGGAAGCAGGAGAAAAACGGGAAGATCCTGTGCGAGCAGTGCATGACTTCGAATCAGAAGAAGGCGCTGAAGGCGGAGCACACCAACCGGCTGAAGAACGCCTTCGTGAAAGCTTTGCAGCAGGAGCAGGCAAGTACACGGCCCCTCTGCGAGCTGCGCCCGTGGGGCGCGTTGGCTCTGGACCCCCCTGCTCCCCTTCGCTTTGCTCGTCTCCGGCCGCGCGGCTTTTCGGTGGGTCGGTCGGGGTTCCCCATGCGAGCAGTTTGGCTTCTCCGTGGGGACGCCCGGCTCAGGGCGGGGAGCTTTCTCCGGGCGGAG